ATCCAACCAAAAATTAACTGGCTGTTTAAGGTTTTCGGTCTATTTAATTAAATTGTTTGTGTATTAAAATTTTCAAATCATTATACAACATTAGATTGCTATCAACTATTTTTGTCCTACATTAATAATCTTTTGTTGGCCGAATTGAAAACCTCATTTTTTTTTACTCTCTAGCATACAAAACATATGACTATAAGGTATGGTGTAGGGGGTTTTCCCACACTTTTGCCTCCACGCAACGCCACTCTCACCGAGGAAAATGTTACATCTTACTTCCATCTGATAAGTATGCTTAAGCTATTTGTACATACAAATTACAAACCCGAGAGAGAGAGAGAGAGAGAGAGAGAGAGAGAGAGAGAGAGAGAGAGAGAGCATAGTGTGGGAAACAAAATGCAGGAGGGGAATAGTGTTCCCCTTGGAGTAGATGCATCCCGTTGATTTTGAAGGCATTATGCTAAAAGTAAATTTAGCTCCTCTATATATATATATATATATATATATATATATATATATATATATATATATATATATATATATATATATATATATATATATATATATATATATATATATATATATATATAAGCAAAATTTATTCATGCGACGATAACTCGATAAATGTTTAAAAAAATAGGGATAATTTCATATATGCCCCTCTTAAATTTCAAAATATTATATTTGCCCAACTTAATTTGTCAATATCATATTTATCCTTCATAAACCTTCAAAATATCATATTTGCCAAAATCCTTTTTTATAATGTTTTTAATGTTTTATAATTATTTTTTATACCTTAGAATTATTATAATAATTAAAATTTTTAACCATATTATCCTTACGTCTATGATAATGAAATGTAAACTTCTAAATTGTTGGAATATCGCTCTCTTGAAAAACAAAATATTCATCTTCAACTCTCTCTATGGAATGTATATTTTGATTGTTTAGTTTCTTTTGTTGATGATTATTATCAATATCATGCTTTAAATGAGGATTATTTTAGATATTACCATTGATATTTTGATGTTTAAAAAGTGCATATATGATATTTTGATATTTAAGAAGGGTATATATGATATTTTGATGTTTGAAAATGACATATATGATATTTTGAAGTTTTATGAAGGGTAAATATGATATTTAGAAATTTTATAAAGGGTAAATATGATATTTAGAAATTAAGTTGGATAAATATGATATTTTGATGTTTAAGAAGAGCATATATAAAATTCTCCCATAAAAATAATCGAAACAAAATAACGATAATATGATATATAGTCTTAGATAGTTACATGGATTGCGAAGCTCTCATAACATTATTGAAAGGAAAATTGTTCCCCAACTCTTTATAACTATCATTGTCAATACATTAAGTATTTATTGTGATTTTCTGGAATGTAAGTAAGACTTTAACAAGTTTAGTTTTAATCTTTGTTAACACATGCATTATCAACATTAATAATTCTAAGATGACACTTGAGGTTTTTGTTTTTTTTTTTTTTTTTTTTTTTTTTTTTTTTTTTAATAAATGTTTTCAATACCCAATAGATGCTTAGAAGGCACAATTTGTAAACTTTTTATATGAAATAACATTAACAACTATATAAAGGTCATAATTATTGTTCTAATCAACTACACAAATGCCACAAAACAAAAACATAATCACAAAAGCTAAGGGGAACCAGTAGAGAAATCACTCAAAACTCTCATATTTATAATGCTAATGTGAAGTTAGAAATTTAATCATTCAACATACATGTGTTAGTGTGTTATATTCGTTAATCAACGACGATAATCAAAATATAAAAATAAGAGGCTGCCAACTTTAGAAATTAGGAATAGTAAAACACTTGTTTAATTTTAGTTAACAGTAAAAAACCACAACGGGAGTGCAATAAAAAACGAGAGATGGAGTGTAGTGGAATCGGAAAACCAAGAAACAAGAAACGTTGTTTGAGTTTTACAATTGCTTCAAATTTGGAAGTTTGGAATTGGAACAAAACAGAAGCTCTTGTTTGCTAAATACAATTTTTAATTTTAAGCCTAATTTTTCAAAACGTGAGTTGTTGTAACTTTTAATTGTAGTGTGATCTATTGGAATTGAAAAAAACATAAATTTTTGTCTTTTTAATTATTTTTTTTGAACCGGCAAATACAAATATTATAATCTACTTTTAAACTAACATGTAATTCCACATATATCCACCACGAGACATGAACCATCAATCTCAATGATAGAGAACACCAGGACACCACCTGATACCGCTAAGATAAAAGCCATTTGGTTGCACTTGTCCACCTATATCCCCAAAAGACACCCATGGTTTGGACCACATTAGTCACATGTGACTCCTGCACCCACTTCATCAGATCACATTTCAGAGTCTAATAGACACGTTGGGAAAATTAAATAATTTAATTAAAGTTCCTTTTTAGCACATAAATTTGGTTAAGCCATATGATTACCCATGGATACTCCAAAAAAGAAAAAACTAAAACTAAAACAAATTATAAATAATCTTGAAAGTTTCAAAGGAGTGAATAGTGGATCGGTGAGTTTTTACATCATGTTTTTCGAGTCAAAATCTGATAAAACTTTAACATTAACAAATATATCAAACAAGATATACAAAATAGATATGCTTACAACCATGAGTGCTTCTTCTTCATCTCGAAGAAGTGAAGAATTTTTGAAGGACCATACAAAGTCCTTATGCGTCGTAATTATGTACATGTAAATCACATTCATCTTTGTCGGGGCTTTCATTGGTGAACGGGTAATGGTTCAAGTCCTTCATACAATATTTATGTTTGTTTATTTATGTATATTCTTGAGTCGTATTTTGGTCTACACAATTAGGTTATTAGAAACTCAAAAGGAAAATATATATATATATATATATATATATATATATATATATATATATATATATATATATATATATATATATATATATATATAGAGGTTAAGATATTTTTTTGGAAAAGAAAAGAAAAATATAGTTATTTTCTTAAGTATTTGTCAAAAAAAAAAAAAAAAAACATGCAAAAAATTTCATTTTCTCATATAACCACCATTTTCACAATCCCTCTGGTTGAAATGCAAATATCCACGGTAAAAACTTTAGAAACAGTTGTACTGCAAAACCAAAAAAGTATTTAGTATTGCAAAATTTATTCCCCATACTACGAATTTGTTCTTCCTAATGCGAAATTGTTTATAACTTTACAAAAATCATGATTGTGTTTGAAGAATTTTTTTAAGTACATTTTTATAAGAATTCCACACCAAAAAGAGTTTTATACTGTGAAAAAATAATCCATCGAATCTTACAAAAAGAATGATGTAAAATGAGAAAAAAAAATGCTTTAGATATGGAATCGCATGTTGGCCCATTTCACAGTTGGCCCACCTAACAGTTATTTTTATGGAATAGTTACTATTTAATATTTGTCTATTTCATGACTATGCTTGTCATTTTCTCTATAATTTAACCAAAGTCGTTGCTTATATAGTATAGATTCTTTTTTGTCGCCAATCCTATTAAAAAGTCACGCTAGAAATGATTTTTGTTGTGAGAAAAGTACAATGGGAACTTTTCAGTTATACTAAATGCTTTGGAAAAACAAAATTAGCCAACATGCAGTTTTATACTTGAAACTAATGTGCCTACCTAAGTTCTGTTTAAGACTTTCAGACAGTTGATTATGGAGTTTATAAAGTTTGGGGGAAAAACAATGTTGAGGTAACAAGTTTTATTTTCTGTTATTGTTGTTATTTTTCATATCTATGTCGCAAATTTGAAATCTATATTAGTGACAAATTACACAAAAGTCTTTACATTGCTCAATGATCTAAGATCTCCCAATAGACTCTTGGTTTTTACACAGCCAACCTTTTACCAAAAAAATAATTATGATTCTTTTTTTATAAAATCCATTGATATTCAAAAACAAATTCCAATCTAGCCACTATTATCTATAAAAACGTTACCAATTTGCTTACATAAAAAATTAAAGTTACCAGTATAAAAGCATGCGTTATACTGATGGAAACAATAAAAACAACCAACGTTCCCTTAGGGAACCGTAAACTGAACCTGAAAACTAAAAGCCCGATAAAAACCGATGAAATTAAAAACGAAAAATCGAAACCAAACTAAAACCGTCCGTTTTGTGTTCAGATTTCAAAAACCAAAAAAATCGGTTTTAATTATTGGTTCAGAAACCGACCCATAATATATAATTGTGATGATTTAATATTTAACATATATACATTTTAAAATAGAAAACTAAAATATAAAACCTAACCCATTAAATAAGGATTAAAGTATGATGTTTTAACTGTGGTTTCATATTTTGGTTGTAATAGATTGTTTTTGTTTGACTTTGACGATGCTTTAACTTCTAAACTTGGTAGTTTTAATATTTATTTTCTAATATTCCAGTCATTTAAAAGGAATCCGATGTTCAACGATCTGTTTTGTTCGTGAACTATTTGACGGAAAGCTCTTTTACGTTCGTTTATTAAATAAACATGGACACAAATTATTGTTCGTTCAATTATGTTCGTGAATGTTCATTTAAGTTCTTTTTATGTTTATATATGTTTAATTGTATTTGATTACATTACTGTATATTATATGTTCGTTTATTTTCATATATTTTTAATTATGTTTTTTTTAATATTTGTTTATTTATGTTCGTTTAACATGTTCACAAACAGACATAAACAAGAAAACTTGTTCGTTTATTCTTTCATGTTCGTTCGACCAACTTAAACGAACAAATATGAACAAGCTTTCGTTCGTGTTAGTTACGTTTATTTACAACCCTATGTAGTTTGATTGGTTTTAAATGACCAAAACAGTAGAAAAGAATATGATTTATTTTGTTTACATTTGTTGGAAAATTGGTTAAAACCCAAAACCCATATGTTTAAACCCAAAACTCATGAACCTATGAGTTGAACCTTACAAACCGAACTCATTCAGAAAACCAAAACCAATGGGTTCTAAAAATCGAAATTAGTGAGTTGGTCTCAGTTCCCTAAATTTTCACTTGCCACATCACACGCCAATTCATTATAAATTTCCACGTAAGGAAACCAAACATGGTTTTTGTATGTCAATAATGACTACATATGGCTTTTATGCACAAAAAACTACATACTAGTTTTTTTTTTTTTGGGTAAAATACCTAATTTTGAATGATTCATTGTTGGTGTAAGGCAGAAGAGATTTGAAAGGCCTAACCAATAATGTACGGAATCGTTATACCAACATAAAAAACCGAGATTTAATCCGACTTTGTGATAATTATTCCAATTTTGGATATTACATATATAACCCTTTCGCAGTGTTATTGTTCATCAAGCTAAAAGTGTCCTAACAATTTCTTCGCATATACCGCTTTCAAAAGGTAGAAAATGGCCTTTACCTTTGACCTCATGATACCGAATAAAAGGAATTTTTTCAGAAAGAAACCGATTCACTTTATATGGTATGATTTTATCTTCAAAACCCTGCCAAATATGAGCAGCACCATTATTATCTGGCCATGGATTAGTTATATCCATCGGGTCAAACTCCCATTTTCCATAACCAGCCATTATATCACGATACAGAGACTCATAAACACCTTGCTGACGTGTCTTTTCCTATTATACATACGTAACCATATAACCATCATCAATATATATAAATAACATTACAAAGAAAATATTGTGATTGTTTTGTTTACCTGAGTATTATCATCAGGGTTAGGTGGCAGATTCTTCAAGAACTCCAAATCTGGTTGGCAAAATATATTCATGTTTCCAGCCATGATGCTTAAAGAAGGAAACAATTTCTGATTCATCCACCAATGAAACAGCCATGGGGCATAATGTGCCACACGAAATGTCCACCTGTCTTGAACAAGAAGCAGCTCAAACACTTCTTTAGCCAAATCAGAAGGCAAACATGGCCACCAGTAATCAACAAATGGCACCACAAGTGATACTCCTGACAACCTAAAAGTATGAAATGGTGGAAATAAGAAGACTAATAAGAATCAAATGGTGATAGAAAGTAGAAACTGTGCCTGTGTGGAATGTATCTGAGGCAACTCCAAACAGCATATGCACCCATTGAGAGTCCAATTATGTAGAATTTGGAACCGATTTGTAACTTATCAGCTAATTCTTGAACATCAAATGCTTCACTTTTGACTGAACGTTTTGGATGTGGATCACTCTCTCCATATCCTGCTCTGTCAAATGACAGAAAGTAAATTTGTAGCTCTTCAATAAGTTCCTGTCATTATAACAAGATATATCAGAAAAAAGGGGAAATATGTTGAAGAATATGAATATGGTGTTCATGATACCTGAGAAATTGGGAGTTTCATGTCTTTGGAGCTATCAAAGCCATGAATGACAATGATCTTGTACTTGGCTCTATCTTTGGAGACACCACACTCTCTGTAAGATAGATGTCTTCCATCATTAAGTTTGATTCGAGGTGAAGTAATAGGAGGGCCACCAGGTGATCCACAAACCCTAGGAGGTGGTGGTTTGATTCGTGTATAAATCCATCCTAGAAAACCACCCACCACTGCAATTGCTACCTTTGCAATCATTGCTATGGAGAAGAAGAAGAAGAAGATGAAAACACTGTAAGAACCATGTAAGTATGGGATTGAGATATTCCAAGAAATCTAGTTTAGCTGTATTGAATATATTTGATTCTCTGATAGAATTCTAGGTTTTACAGAGGGATGTGTGGGTTCTGCAACTACAAACGTGTTTTGAACTTTTGATTCCGCTTTCCTGTAATTTTTAGAACCTCGAATCAACAACTAATTACAGATCGGGTTAACTATGGATTTTAGGGCTTTTCGATCAAATATTTCATGTATGTAACAGCATTGATATATTTCGAAGTTCGAATTCGGTAAATTCAAAATCTGGATTAGGGATCAAATAATTGAATCATCTACGCACATACAAATAACATATAATTTAAAAGAAAAATGAATCCAAGCATTTCGAGACAGCAATTAAAGATGTAAAGTAATGGAGCATAAGAGTATCTTACAAAACTACATGGAAATTTTATCAAGAAAAGTCGATTAAAATGATCAGAAAACTCACCGAAAGAAAGTCGAACAGAGATTCAGGTGAAGTGAAACTGGTAAAGCTGATATTTTCATGGGGGAGAAATAGCATGTGATCATATAACAGCTGCTAACACTACTGCTTGTCTTGTTGTCTCCATCAAAAAAAAAAAAAAAAAAAAAAAAAAAAACTGAGTGATTGAGATAGTGTTTGGGTTTTGGGAGGGTGTTCATCATGTCAAGATGGGAACCGGAAAAAACAATACAACCATTTTTATTTATATATGATTTTATTTATTTTTTCTTTTTGGTTTTTGAAAATTTTTATGATTTTTTAGATAAAAAGATCATAGTATTATACAATTTTAATGAACCAATTACTTTTTTTTTTTTTTTTTACTTTCCGTGGTTAATTTTTGTTGTTGTTTTATAACTACAACCAGATTTGTAAACACTAAAATTTTGGATACACTAAAAAACTTTTAAAATTATGGATTTCGTCATTTTCCGATAGTTTGGTTGTGGCTTAGTCCCCCAACTTTAACGTCTCGTTAAATTCTTATAAAATGACAAGTTTGCCTTTCATTTTATATATATATATATATATATATATATATATATATATATATATTAGTAGTGTGTCCGTACAAAGCTACGACGACGAATATTTTCGTGACGGTAATTAATTCATTTCATCGAATAATTTCATTGTTGCTATTATATCAAACCATAAAAAAGTTAAGCATTAAAGAAGTTACAAAATATTGATAACAATCATACATTCCTATTCTTTTAGATCGTAAATAGATAAACGTTAATGCATGAATATAATGACATGTTTGCAATAAATATCAAATGATTAAACACGATACATATTGTAACAATTGTGCTTGTGTGCCACGCTTTAATACCGGCAATACCTGTCTAAAGTCACATTCCATAATTATTTTCTTTCCATTGAACGGAAGTTTCTCACCTGTGATGTCTTGCATTGTTCGATCAACTGCCTCCATTGTCTGCCTCTTAGCCATTGATGTTTCATCCCATGTGATTACGTTTGCCTCACGAAGTAGATGAATTGCCCCGCTTTATTTATTTTGCACTTCAAGTTATTTTCAAGATTGAAGGGAATATTAAATTGTAAGTGGTTTGTTCTTCACCCTTGCATGTTATGAGCCGCAACACCTAACGTAGCCGTCACAAGTGCAATGAGACCACAGGAATGAATATTGGCTAATAAAGCTCAAAACTAACTTTTTTATTAGATATATGTAATAATAATAAATACTATAAATGTGTCATTAGAATATTTAACATGCATTTGATGTGAAGACGAGAGTATCTGAATTCACTGCTTTGAGTGAGACAATATTAACAAAAGCACATGCAAAAATAATTTTAATTTAGAAATTGCAAACTTTACTTCTTCCTCAAAACTTTTGTAAGAAAAAATACTTTTAATTCAAATCCACATGAGATATTTTAACTTGTAAACAGCTAACAATAAACACACATGATACATGTATAATTAGCAAACATATTTATGACAGTTTCACTGAAAACACATTGATTGCACATAAAAAAAACCTCTGTTGAAGTCTCTATAGTCATAAAACCACAAACATGCAATCACTCAAATACACATACACACAATATCACAACATATCATAAAACCACAAACACGCAATCACTCAAATACACATACACACAATATCACAACATATACAATGTCAAAAACATATACATAAACACGGATATACATAATTATCACTGTAAACAGAATGAATAAAAAAATAAAAAAAATTATACATACACACTTCAAGTTATAACATATAGAATAAGTAAAAAGAACATGAATTTGTGTCAAGAAATGAAATGCAATGAAACCGAAACAAAGTTATTTGGTGGTAGAAAATGAATTGCAGTAGGAAGATGATGAAAACCGTGATGTTCTTATTTTCTTTTGTTCTGATCACACATTTTTTTATTCAATTCACATGTTTATTATGTTTTTATGCACTATAATATTGAGTATATAAAATAACAGTAGTTAATTCTAAAGTAGAATTAATACAAAAAATAATGCAAATGATAGCATAACAAAAATACGCAAAATCATACCAAAAATAAATCAATTAATATCATACTTTCAATTAAATAAATCATTTTAAAAATAAGATAAAAATTGACAGCTAAAATCATGGAGTATTTAATAAAACTTTATTGCAATTTGTACTGTATAATGACTGTAACATCCGGATTTCCAGGTATATTATTTTACTTATTTATTTGTGAGGTTTGCTGAGTAACTTGACGAGTTGGTGCCTCAACTCGTCGAGTAGAGTCGCAACTGGTGACGAGGATTAATGAGCTGACTCGACGAGTCTGTGAGCCGACTCGCCGACTCAGTGTTGCTGAAGGAAACCCTAAATTCTCAGGCATGTGGCCTATTTAAGGACACTTATAGCCTCCATTTCGTCTCACTAGTACCCTTGCACCCTTGAGAGAAACCCTAACGTCCATAGTGAGCTTGAGTGGTGAGGATAGTTAATCTTGTGATCATTTTGGCTCATTTCCTTGAAGAGGAAGGAAGGTTCATCAAAGATCAAGAAGGGAGGGCCAGTAGATTTGCTTCTTCTTCATCTCAAGCTTCAGATCAAGGTAAAAAGCTTTTACCTTTCTTGTAGGATGGTTAGATCTCATGCTCTTGAGATTTAGGGCTTGTAACACCTTCTTGATGGGGGCTATTGATGCATCAAGCCCCTTTTTGAGTCTAAACTTCAGATCTGGACCTTGTGAGGTCTAGAGAGTCCAAAAGTTCAGAGAAATAGTTGATCAACAAAAGAGTTTGCGTTTTGGAAGCATTAATGGAGTGGTGATGGCATATAGAGCAATATATGCCATGCATGGCCATCAAGATTGAAACTTTACGTGACTTTTGGATATTAGGAGGCTAGATCTAGAGGTTGGAGTTGCGGATCTGCTCTCAAGTTCCCAAATAAAAAACCCGATTAGGTACACTCGCCGAGTCTATGAGATGACTCGGCGAGTCAGATCGGGTTTGTCCCAACATTCTTGATCCAGTGATAACTCGTCGAGTTGTGGGTCAACTCGACGAGCTGAGTGAAACCTTAGCAAAACCTGTAAGGATACAAGTGGACTCGGCGAGTCACATGAGTGCGGTTGGTGAGTCAGGTCAACTTTGACTGTTGACTCGTATCGACTTCTATTGACTTTGAGGATGGGTCAATTATGAGCATTTGAGACCATGGAGGGGTAAAATAGTCTTTTACCCATACCAAGGGTTAGAAAGCGAATAAGAGAACTTGTGGTGTAATTGAGTAAGAATGGGGTATTGATTAGGCGATGCTTATCTAATGTGTTAGGCGAAGGCTAGTTCGAGATTCCCGAGTATGTGTCTATTACTTGCCAGCTACGAGGTGAGTCTTGTATTGCCCGTGTTTCTAGGATAGGCATTAATGTTGATGTAATAGTCTAGGTTAACCTTTGTAACCCGTTTTGAAATAATAAAAATGTATTATTTGAGTATTATGTGTTTATCCTTAATTGTGTGACTTAAATGAATTAAGGATAAAAATAAGCGATAAAATAAAGTATTAGATAAAACCAATATCTATGAAGGAATTTGTAGTGGTCGTGACGAGGATTCCAAAAATATAAAGAATACCGAAATCCGAGTTATAACAAATAAGTTATGACCTGTCGAAGTTTCGCGACAGAACCAGTACGACACTATGTGACGTAAATAGTAAATTTACGATAAAGCGGTATTTAGCCTTAGCGATCTAAATGAAAGTCGTAGAGTAGGTCAAACCGAGAGCGTACATAAAAAGAACGTCTAAATCTCACTTCGTATGAGGAAGTTATGATTTTTCTAAGTTTCAACTTAGCAGTATGCAACCCAAAGTTTGAATATGAGATCGAGTGATTTCTATCCGAAACAATCTAAACGAGAATCGAAGATCTCGTCGATGATAGTCCAATGGTAAAAAGATAAACGAAAACGGATGTCAGATAAAGAAGTTATGAATTTCTAACGGAGTTTTCCTGTACCGGCCTACTAAAAATAATATAATAAAAATAAAGTCAAAAATAGCCAACAAAGTCTAAATGAAAGTGGTAGAGCATAATCTCACATACGCGTGGATATAAAGAACATCGAAAACGGAGTTCGTATGCGAAAGATATGGATTTCTGAAGTTATGGGCACAAACTTCAACCCTTGTGTTAGAGCTCACGACGTGAACAAAGGGTATTCATGACGTGAACAGGTGATGGATGTATCCCAGAGTCTGACAGACTGATGTCGCGACTACTCACCTGATGACGATCAAACTCACGATGTGAACATTAGTGGTTCACGACGTGAATTCAACATTTCAGCCCTATAAATAGAAATTGAAGGGCAGCCGATTTAGGTTGCTACTTCACCATTCTCTCACTCTCTATACCCTCTCTAGCCATCTTGAAATACCCCTGAAGTCTCGGTATCATCCCGACACCCGAAGCCAATCCCGAAGCTCCGGAGATTCCGAGAAGAAAAGAGTTTTCGAGCCAAAGCTTTGCGCGCGAGAAGCCCGATATGTGAAGATATCCCTGTTTCATCAAAGAATACTAGTAGAAGAGCCGTAGTGTTGTCCGATCATCGTCTTATCAAGTGAGTGTATATTCATTTTCTTCTAACACATAGATACAAAGTATTCTCTATAAAATACGTGCTATGTGTTTATATATTATTTATTTATTTGAGATAAGTGTTGAATGAATGTTTTATACATGTTTTAAGCTGCATATGTATTTTTTTCTATTTACAAATATGTTGGGTGAAACATGGGTAGATAGTTTATGTGTGATTAAATAAAATGATGAAAGGCCTCAATGTTGTTGTTGACCTAGTCATCTAGCGGAGTATAGATGACGACCACAGACTCTTTCTAGACAATCCAGTGGAACGCTGGCAGGTTCATAACATGTAGGTGTTGTGAACGATGTGTTCACCGGTGTATTCTATACCCCTCATGGTTGCCTTTAGGACATTTATTGTTGAGGAAACCCCTTTGCAGTAGTGTCCATCCCGATGAAAATCCTTAGACTAGGTCCCTTGTGATAGTTGTTTTTAGGGACGTAAAGTGAGGATAACAAGAATGGGTAATCGGGTTATTGTTGGTTAAAGAAATTAAAATATTTATTTATTGTGGGTTGAAAACCCTATATGCTCACCAGGCTCCCAAGCCTGACCCACTCAGTTTCTTTGAATTACAGGTAGTGGCGCGAGAGCATAAGTTGGACAACTTGTGAATATATTTTGTTTATAGACTAGTGGTTGTAAATAATTGTTGTAAGGTCTATGTTGTACTGTTTATGCTTTTGGTCTGTATCGGAACATGACATCCCGAGTTTTGTTATATAATGAAAGTACATTTCTTTAAGAAATGCTTTGATAAACTTTATTTTATCATATCGTGTTTTGGGAACAAATTCCGCAACTCTTTTAATCAAAGGATTGCTCTGAAATTATTTTAAAAGCATAAATTAAACCGGTCTTTTCTGGCCGTGAATTTGGGGATGTCACAGTTGGTATCAGAGCATTAGTTTATGTGAACTAGGAATTTGTAGGATTTCTAGAGTTAAACTTAGAATGCTAACTGAAGATTGTGAGATAAGTGTATGTTATATTTTAAGACACAATCACTAGTTTATTTTTGGAAAGATGCCTGAAATTCTTTTATGTGCTAAATATTATATGATTGCCATATATGAAATTGTTTGTTCAGATCTACGGTTTGTGTTTCGGGTAATCAACTTTTTACTTGAATTATTACTACACTTGTCCCATACTTTCAACATGCACACAATGTTTACCTACGGTCCTTACCTTGTGAACACATTTCCAATCATACTCATTTCACAACTCCCAATCCTTATCATAAGAATATCAAATTCTTGTTACTTATGCTAGATTCTAACACTTTATGCAATGATTCTTTCGTAAAGTCATAGCTCAAAATCA